GACTCGGCTTTCCTGGATGAGGACTGCTGGTTCCGAGAGCGGTTGCTCTCGCGTGACTGCCCGTTCACGTTCCCGCCCACAAAGTGACAGTGCCCTGTGGAAGTCCCTTCTCACAGAAGAGGAAACAGACTTGGGAACGTTGAGCCACCTCCTTCCTGGTAGAGATGCGATCTGAATTCAGCCTGAGTGAAGAGAGGAAACTCTTAATTTGCACTCTGTAGTTATCTGAAAGGTGGTTCAATATAAAACAAACCCATTTACTTCATTTTTACAGAAACCTCTTGAGGTTTGGGAGGTCAGCCACTTACAAGGTGCTCTAATTAGTGCTATTAGATTTTTTTTAAAGTAGGCTCCACACCCAACACGGGGCTCGAACTCACAACTCCGAGAGTTGCGTGCTCTACGGACTGAGCCAGCCGGGCGCCCCTGATTAGTGCTGTCAGCGGGAAGGGCGGGGAAAAGACCCCTTCGGAGTGAACCCCGTGGGAAGGAGTAAGTGTGGGCCTGGTGAGGACATTTTACAGCTGTTTCTTTAAGCTTTCCAGAGTAGTGTTTGTTCTGTGAAAGTTTTAGGTAATGAAATGCGTGTGGTTTTAAAGAGTATTCTTAAAGTATATTGTTTAAGAAACAGTTTATGTAAGATTCCAAAAACCCGTATTGAAGTATTCTTTCATCTTTTACCTAAGCTGTTAACGTGGAGTCGAAAGGCTGTCGTCCAGGTGATTGTTTCCTGTACTGGTAACATGAGTGTGCTCTAAGGCGTGGCTGTGTTGTTTTTTTTTTTTAATGCTTCGCATGTAGTTGGAGGCACCAGCATTGGAAAGAAAGCAGTGCGTTCTGTCTGCTGCCCTTTTTACCACGGGGTTGGACGGTTACCTGTTAGGGTTAGCGTGGCTTGGCTGCAGGCGAGGAGACGGACCTCACGTAAATGCTGGACACGGTGAGCAGAAAAGTGAATCGTGCGCTCAGCCTGTTTAGAACAAACGGTTCTGGGTAGCTTGAGCAAGAGGAGATTTGGGGCTGCCCTGGTGAGTTTTTACTGGTTTGGAGAAGAAGGCCAGTTGATTATCAATTTCATTGATTGAGATACTGGTAAAATATTTAAAAGCAAATCTCCACCTTTAATCCTGTGTTCTTTGCATTGGCTCTCTAGTAACTTAAAATAGCTGTCTCTGGTTTTGTGGGGGTTTTTGTTGTATTGGTTTTTTTGGTCTATTGTTTCCGATAAATACTAAAATTTTGTTTCAGAGTTGTCGTTAAATCCACCCGAAGTGTTTCATTTCCACGACAGTAATCCTTGTGGATGATATTTCTCAGGCAGAGGTTTATGCAAAGGTAAATATACACCTTTAGGAAAGAACCTTGCTTTCCCGTCGGGAAGAGTAAAGAAGGGAACAGCTGACGTATCTTCTGCCTTTCACGCAGATTGTTGTGGCGAGAGTGCACAGCGCAGGGCAGGGACCGTGCAGGTTAAAGTCACAGGACCTGCCGTCCTACCTGCTCCAAACAGAGGTTTCTTCCTTGAAAACATGCTGCTCGCAAGTAGGCACTCCTTTAGAGAGTGGAGGACCCACAGTAGTGTGTTTTCGTTTTAAATATTGTTGTCGGGGCGCCTGGGTGGCTCAGTCGGTTAAGCGTCCGACTTCGGCTCAGGTCATGATCTCATGGTCTGTGAGTTCGAGCCCCGCGTCGGGCTCTGTGCTGACAGCTCAGAGCCTGGAGCCTGTTTCGGATTCTGTGTCTCCCTCTCTCTCTGCCCCTCGCCTGTTCATGCTCTGTCTCTCTCTGTCTCAAAAATAAACGTTAAAAAAAAAAAAAATTAAAAAAAAAAAAATAAATAAATATTGTTGTCTCGGGTAATTTGCATAAAGATTTTTTTTTTAAGGAAACATTGGTCTGTGTAAAATTGTAACTGTATTAGTCTGCAACATTATCAGATCAGTCCAGTGATCGAGACTTGATGGTTATTTCTCACAGGTGTAAAGTTTTGTTCCCGAGCTCTTACCAGTGGAGAACAGACAAACCAAAGCTGGAAGAATCGGATACTGTTACTGGAACTTTTGACTCAAATCTGTTTTTAATTTTACATGTGAAGCATCATATTAGAGACTGAGGGAGGGCCTAGAACCATGAATGAGGTCCCTCGGGGAAAGCTCCCATTCAAGTGGGACCTCTGACGGCTGGTTCTTTATGGAGTTTACTTCTCAAAACAAGCTTCTTACTTTCAGATTATAATCAAGGAAATTTGAGCTCACACGTGTCAGATAAGTCACTCAGATACAGCTCTTCGGCTGAGATGCCAGCTGTTTTGTGCCCTGAGGCGAACCCCCAGGTGCCCGTCGCCCTGTGCGCTGGGCAGGCTCGTGGGCTCCTAGACGAGGTGGAGCAGGCGCCTGCGCGGCGTGGGCTCGTTTCTTCTCTTCACCGTTTCTCCCGGAACTCCTCCTCCTGCGCTTGTCAGGGAGGAGAAGAGTCCGGTGTTCCTCCTTCCCGTGGTGGAGTGAGTGTTGAAACTGGCGGGGCTGCAGAGCTTGGGTTTAAAGCTCAGGTTTTCCGGGGCAGCTCCTGGGTAGCTAGCTCTGCCCTCGGGAAGCTGTGTGGTTACAGTTTACACACCCTCCCTGTCTGGGGAACCTTCTTTTTTAACCCCTTGATAAGGTATCTCATTCATGTTTGAGGTATTAAATGCTGAGCTCTTAGTGTTGGGCATGTGGTTGCCCTTAATATACGTTACTATTAGTTGTTAATTTGGTCGTTATATGCAGAAGTCTTAGGTTCAAGAACTTGGTTTTATCAGTTTTCTGGGGTCTGAAAATTCTGTGGACTTAGTCACAGAAGGGAAGCACTGTGCGAAGGGGAGGGCTAGAGGGAGAGCCAGAATTAGGCTCCGTGAGGGGTGTGGACGCAGGGCTCCTGTCTCACCATCTCGTGAACTGGGAGATTATGACTTAGAAATCAAGAGCTAGATGCTTAACTGAGCCACTAGCCGCCCCTCAGAGTTAATCTCGATTAGCGCTTACCTAGTGAATTTAAAGGTAGTTTTAGTAGGCCACTTTATTTAGGCTTGGTAGAACCTGGAAACTTGTTTCTTTAAAAACGTCAACGGAAATACTAGTTCTTTGCAGGTGGCAGTGCTGTTACTTGCTGGATTTCTACCCTTGAGTTTACTCTTTTTTTTTCCATTTACTTCAACGTTTTATGTGCGATCAGTAGCTGAACCACATTGATAATGGAGACTTGTATTTCCACTTTTTTCCCTATAAACAGTAGTAATCTCTCTATAAGGGATTTTCTTGAGGGTGAGGGACCTCCTCCTCCCCGTGCTCATCGGTACATCCTTGTTCCCTTTGTGCTCTTGCCCAGTTGGGTGTTCCTTCCCAAATCTTTCATTTCTGGTAGTTGGGAAAGGGGTGCTTCCTGTCTTTGGGATCCGTAGGTACATCTGTCGGTTTTAGTCTTGTCACAAATGATGGAAACTATCCTGTTAGCAAAGTGATTGGGTGGGAGGTGAATTTGCCTGGTGGTCTTGCTTCGTCTATGGAGCTGGAGCCCTTGGAAGAGCTGGATTGTTTTGCCGGCTCTTGTCGGAGACTGTGGCTGTAGGGTAAAGACGATCTCGGAGTGGTGGCGACTGGAGCGCCAGAACCCTGGGGTAAACACGGGGCTCCCGTAATAACGACTTGACATCTGTACAGCTAAATACAGTCAGTAATTGTTGTTTTCTGACGTCTGAGGAGGTGGTGGACGGGGAGAGTAGACCCAGAAGTGGAAATTGTGGCTTGAGTGGAGAGAGGCCGGGAGCTGAGGAGGACTGGGGCCGCCGAGTAACGGCAGGTGCTTAGCACCACCGGGCACTTGGCGAGGGTGGGCTGTTACGAATACTAACCGGTACTTACACAGACTCACAGTTGAGGACCATCTTGCACGCGCGTGGTTACTTTACCAAGGTGTTGGGGATTGTCAGAGTAACACCAGAGACGGAGAAGAGCCTTTAAAGAGGATACTGCTCAACATTCTCTGCTGCTTGACCAGGCTGGACAGAGAAGCAGTTTATCATTTGGAGAGACCAAAGCAGGACTGATAGAGCTCCCATTTTGCTAACTCATAAAGCTGTTTTCAGTCTCCCTTCCACAATCGTGGCCTTACTTCAACCCAAGGTCTGTGGTTCCGTGGCATTCTTTTATGGTTTTTATTTTTTTTTATTTTTCTTAATTTTTTTTAACACATGCTCGCTTTCTCTGTATTTTCCCCTGGGGCAGTGGGAAATGGGAAATTAACTACTGCCTAGTGTTCGGACGGGGCCTGAGCAAGTACAGTAAAGCTTCGGGGCTATAAATAGGCCTTATTGTCTTGTTTTCTGTTTTAATTTTCATCCAGGTTATATAGTTAACCACATTCTAATATCCCGTAATTGTTATAATTACTAGGTCATAGTTAATTAGTGAAGAATTAAGTGAGCAGGTCGGGAGGACAGAAAAGCTTACTTGTGATGCGCTTGGAGCCCATAGAAAAGCCATCGCCAGGAGTAAAGCTGAGGAGTGACCTGATCTGACTTTTAACAAAATTGTGGGTGGATTCTAGATGTATTTTGAGGGTGGAATGACTTGATGTGCCAGTGTGGAAGGCGAGAAGAGGGAAGAATTGTCAGTGGTGCTGAGGGCGGTGAGGGCAGACGAGGTGGAATGCTGCTTGGAAGTTTGTTTGGAGCTGTGCTTTTCTTGTGTTCGGGGAAACAGTGGGGTACACAGGAGCGCAGGACCTTGCCCCCTTGTATCCCCAGGTCCAGTGTCCCCCAGGTCCTCTGATGTAGTGGTTCAGCCTGTGGGATACGAACCGCTGAGTCTTGGGTTATAGCAGAGGGCCTGGAAGCTGACAGGAGTTTCACTGAAGTAACCTGCATTTTAATTGACCAGAAAGGGAAAAGAAATCACGGGAACGGGCATCCTGTAGTTGCACAGCTCCAGCTCCAGACCACGTTACAGTTCCCTTGCTTGCAAGACCCACCGTATTTATCTCGAGAAGTCCGGTTTTGAGAAAAACCGTGTTCATTGATTTTGGGCAGTAGTTCATATGAAAATTAGTTTCGATTCTGCAAAGGCTAAGAGTTTCCATCCATTCACTTTCATGTTGGAATTGGGGCTAACATTTTTCCTTTGTGGTTTGAGTCGTCCCTTCATTTAGGCTTTATGATTTGGAGGCTGGACGGGACCTCAGGGATTGCTAGGCATGGACTTTGGGGATCTGTGGGTCTGGATTTTAACTGTGATTTGCTGCATAACTGGGCAAGATCCTTAAACTTTGTGTTTCAATGACCGAGTCTTGAAAACAGAGTTTAGTAGTGAATCTGCTAACCCGCGTCCTTCTAAAGACACAGCCAAGTAGCGCGTGTCGGGGTGTGCCTGGCACTGGCTGGAGACTCATTAATATTAGCTGTCGTTGACGTCAGCTGCTCCACGGCCACTGTCGTATACCTGAGACCAGTAAGGCGCAGGTTGTAAATAACTTGTCCCAAGTCACGTGATTCAATTTGAAGACTAAACCCTGTCTCTCCGTTTCTGTCTCAGATGTTTGCAGTAATGAAACATCTTTTAAGGATGGTGAATGACGTTTTATTCTAGAAATTGAATCTTATTTTAGAATGTTTTTCCTTTCTGTTTTCCTTTAGGATTTGGAGTTTCATGGCGTAATGAGATTTTATTTTCAAGATAAAGCTGCTGGAAACTTTGCAACAAAATGCATTCGGGTCTCTAGTACGGCCACCACGCAAGACGTGATCGAGACGCTGGCAGAGAAATTCCGCCCTGACATGCGGATGCTGTCGTCCCCCAAGTACTCCCTCTACGAAGTTCACGTCAGCGGAGGTCAGTGTGCACACACGGGGTACTGGCGGGGTAGCCTCTGCTGTGTAGACAACTTCTGAACCACTCCTGTGTGCAGAGCGCATCTCTGTCACAGCATTGCTTTGCCGCTGGCCCTTCTCTTCCTGGGGACGTTGGGGGGTGTTTGTGCGTCTGCGAAACGTTCAGACAGGATCCCGGGAATTAGATTTGGTGGAAGTTAGGATGGATGTATCGTACACTTATTTTCTTCAAAGAACTAGCGTGACGTTTCATCGTTAAAACTCGCCAGTGGATCTAGGCGCCCACACACGTTGATGAAACCGTATGTTACTTGCTTTTGGAGAACTAGTTCATGTAACTTTTTTTTTTTTTTTTTTTTTTTAACTTTTTAATGTTTGTTTTCGAGAGCGAAAGTGAGCATGAGTCGGGGAGGGGCAGAGAGAGAGAGAGGAAGACACAGAATCAGAAGCAGGCTCCATGCTCTGAGCTGTCAGCACAGAGCCCGACACGGGGCTTGAATCCAGGAACGGTGAGATCACGACCTGAGCCGAAGTCGGACACTTAACTGACTGAGCCACCCAGGTGCCCCTCCTGTAACTTTTATGTATAGATTATGATACTACAATTTAATCCGGTTAAAATATTATGGGCATGAATCCTCAATCTTACAAAAATGAGTATTTTTGTAATGTGAGATTGTATATTTTCCTTATTTGGAATACTTAGGGTATCTTGGGGAAACTTATGTAGTCATTTCTCCTTGTTTTAATGTTTGAAATTTTTGAAAATATCCTACATATGAGATGGCAATTTAAGTTGGACTGATTAGAAATGTAGAAATTTGGGGTGCCTGGGTGGCTCGGTTGAGCATCCGACTCGGTTTTGGCTCAGGTCATGATCTCACAGTTCATGGGTTCGAGCCCCGTGTTGGGCTCTGCGCTGAGTATGGAGCCTTCTTGGGATTCTCCCCCCCTTCCCCCCCGCCCCAACCCCCCTCTCTGGCTCTCGTGTGTGTGCTTGCTCACTCTTCAAAAATAAACATTAGAGATGTAGAAATTTATACATTTTTTAATGAGTGCTGTGGAAATATTGAGTCCCCTATAAAATATATTGTGTCTCCTCTCTCTGCCCCTCCCCTGCTCATGCTCTCTCAAAAATAGATGTAAAAAATTTTTTTGAAAATACAGATTCCAATTAATGCAACAACTAAAGGATTACATATGTAGCAGAAACCCAATTTAAATACCTGTTAAATTCCATCCAGAAATACTCTTTGAACATGGTGTTATTTGTCTTGACTTCAAAATTGCAGCTTTCTTTGTATATTTGAAATAGGGTAAGAATTCTTGTACTGCATGGAATTCAGGTATGACCAAACACTTTTCCCTTGGAGAGTAGGAGATATAGGCCGTATTTGTTTGTTACTCTTTCAACATTATGAGGAGATCCCACTACATAAGCCACACCAAAGCTAGATTTGATGATAGAGGATAACCTTAATTTTGGATGGTTTTTCTGAGGTTGAATTTTTCCTTTAGCTCAGAATCACTATAACTAGGTTGTTGAGAAGAAACTACAACTTTTTCCTTAAAATTTTTTTTTAGTTAAAAAGTAAACTGTGTTGCGGTAAGGAGGTGAAAACTCGGCGAAGGTGCCTGGAGGCGGTCTCCTCTGTACCCGCGGTGAGCGGCGCACCGGGACCGTGTGGCTCTGGCCATCCGCACCCCTGCACTCGGAGCAGCGGGCTCCCTCTGTGCCCCTGACGCCAGGAGGAGCCCTCTGTCCGCGCTCTGTGCTTTCAAGTCCTAGAGCCCTAGGGGTCGGGGGCGGGGCTCGTTTCATTGAGTAGTTAGATTCAGACAAGTTGTGGACTGTTTATGCGCTAACAACTTGGTACGTGTTTGGAAAATAGTGCACAGAAAATGAAAGGAAAAGTACAATTCTCATTCCATTTTTAATGACCGTTCTTGCCTGATGGGGTTTGTGTGCCTCTGGCCCCTGGGTGGGGAGCGGGGCCCTCGATCCCTCTCCGGGCAGGTCTGGGGCGCTGCCAGGGGGAGGGACCGTGCGGCCTGTTATGCACGCGGGCTGCCTGCGGCGGGTGTGACTTGTTCCCCTGAAAACTGAAAAGGCTCCTCAGTGAGTGTGCAGGGAGCCTTGGTGCATGTTTGGAGACCGCCGCTCCCGAGGGCTGAGTTCTGGGCCCAACGCGCACATCCACCACCAGGGAAACTCCACCGTTACCCTTTCTGTGGGTAGGATTCCTTGGTGAACTCAATTGGAAAACAAAAATTGTGCTGTTTTAAAACAAACAAACAAAAACCACTGAGGCAGAAAGGTATCTTCAAGTTACAAAGTTGTAGTAGGGACCCTGACTGTACTTCCGTTTCCTGGTTTGCCACACGCACGTTAGAATGGCTCACCCTTGTTTTGTTTTACTTTTATGATTTAGACCTGATTGTTGTTAAAACTAGCTCTCTAAAAAATGCACGTGAAGGATTTTGATATAGTACAAATCTTGCGACAAGAAAAACTGGGTAATTTTGGTTTGTAGCATCAGTTTCAAACTTCTTGATCCAGTCCCTCATTTATTGCTCTGATTTTTCATCTCTCATTTTTTCAGTTCATAAAACAAATTAGAACTTATTATTTCTGTATTCTTATAATCTGCTTGCGTGTAGTACTTACTAAAAGTCTTTATCAGTCTCTGTTTTAAGTCTGTCCTGTTGACTCCTGCTTCCTTGACCACAGTACTTCTTCAGCTGGCCTCTGTCTCCTGTGTTTGCTAAAGACCTCCTTGCAGGCTGCGGTAGGTGGTCCGGGTGAGCGGGCTCTGCAGGAGCCCCTCTGTGGGCCCCGGGACTTATTAGAACTCAAGCGAGAAGGAACACGCTAAACGTAGTGGCACGCTGTCGGAACCGAGGGACGGGACTGTGGCTTCCCTAGGTGACCGAGGGCTGGGTGGCGAGCGTGGGAGGATCGGAAGGAGCCAGGAGGGCGAGCACCACGGTCACTCGCTCCCGGGCCTGCGAGGAGCTGTCACGGAGGTCAGCGGAACTTTGTGTCCTCTTAACATTACTCTCTTAGCCTCCAGCTGCATAGGAGATGGTTTACGGAGGGAGGCTTCGCGGAGCCCTCTGTTTTCTTCCAGTTCGTGTGCATTTCTCTTTTCCCAACTGGATTCTAAATGTTGTAAGGAAATTATCCCTGGTCAGTGTTTGGCATTGGGTACGTGGTAGTATGTGTTCTAGTACCAACACAATAGTAGATCATTAAAACTCCCGCTTGCTATTTTGGATTACATTTCAGCCTGTTAGTACTGGTGGTAATGAGGGATTTTATTACCTTATAAGGGAGGAAATGAAACGTATGTCAGAACGTTTTATTAGCTAGTGCTGTTAAGTAACCATGACTTAATTTTTTTTCATTTCATTATTTGAAGAAGAAAGAAGATTGGATGTAGATGAGAAACCCCTTGTTGTGCAGTTGAATTGGAATAAAGACGATCGAGAGGGCAGGTTCGTTCTTAAGAATGAGAACGATGCCCTTCCTCCTAAGGTACGTTCCGTCCAGGTCTCGTGCTGACCGTGTCCCGGGCCCAGGGTTGCCGAAACACACATGTCATGTGAATGTGATAAGGGCTTCACTTTTTGCTTCTCTTCTTTTTTTTTTTTTTTTTTTTAATTTTTTTTTTTCAACTTTTTATTTATTTTTGGGACAGAGAGAGACAGAGCATGAACGGGGGAGGGGCAGAGAGAGAGGGAGACACAGAATCGGAAACAGGCTCCAGGCTCCGAGCCATCAGCCCAGAGCCTGACGCGGGGCTCGAACTCACGGACCGCGAGATCGTGACCTGGCTGAAGTCGGAGGCTTAACCGACTGCGCCACCCAGGCGCCCCTTGCTTCTCTTCTTAAATGACCTGAATGACCCTTCGTGCAGAAGAAAATGTAAACAGAACCCTGCTTCTCTGTTTCATCCTGTTTCACTGAATAATGCCTAATGTTGCCCTTTACTTTTCCAAAGAAGCATTAGGTCAGCTTTTGTTATTAAGAGATTTAATGATGAAGTAACCACCAGTTTTGTTTTGTTTTGTTTTTACCAAGTTATAAAGTCCAAATCTGTTTTAATAAAAATCAGAAGGGAAAGTAAAGTTTTAATAACCTATTTATTTATGTGTGAATTTTCAGGTCCAACTTCATAAGGTACAGTGAAAACCTTTTCCGTGTTGTATGTAGACTTTTCTTGGGTTAACGTAATTGAGTGATTCTAAAACCTTCTCAGGCAGTAGGTGTCCGGAGCTCCTGTGCTGCTGGTTGTTTTCCATGGAACACTATGGAATAGGGGTCAAGCTGGAAAATAACGATAATTTCTGTGTGAAACAAAGTGGTAGCAAACGCAGAGGTCAAGAACACTTAGAGAAAAGTCCCCAACAGGTTGGGACACGAGTGCCATTACTCCCTTTTGGAAACGAGAGTTTCATGGTGTCGTGACGCGGGTGCTCCATGTTGAGGAGTGTTCTTGGCCTTTCTTGTTCTCTGCTCTAGTGCTTGTTGCTTTTGTAGCAGATTCTTGTGAAGTAATAACGGGCATCTCTCTTCTTTCTTCTCTGGCCCGTGTTTTATTTCATCTCTGCACCGTGACCTCAGCTGAGCGCCCCGCTGTAGGCCAGAGAGGCTCATTCGTGGGCACCCGAGCCCTCGTTCGGGTGAGGACAGCACGGGCGTAGCTGGTGGCAAGGATGGGGCGCCAGCGTCGATGAAGCGTAGGGCAGTTTAGTTCCCAGTACAGGAACCTTTCTTGGCTAGTCTCGAATGTTCACAGTCGACCTATTAATTAGATAAAAAAAACTTTTGTCTCTGTGTCATCTGCTCGCAGGCCAAGTTGTAAATTAAGAGTAAGCAAGCAAATAAGATCTGGAAAAGAAGATACAGAGTTTTGCACAAACAGTGCTTAGTTTTGCATCCAAAAAGCCAGTTTCTTATGGCTACTCCTATATTTGTTTTAAGGTTAGAAAAATCACGTATGAAGTAGATAGTGATTTAAACACTTAGCTATTTCTGTATTGTGATTAGGTTCCTTTTTTTTTTTTAAAGTAACTTAAAATTATGTGTAACTTAAATTTTATTTATTGAAAATCTGGTTTCCTGAGTCCCACTCCGGTTTTCTTTACTGGGTTTGGTTTTCTGTTTGCTTGCTTGCTTGCATATTCATTTTGAATTGAGGTAAAAGATACACGTGGTGAAATGCGGAGATCTTGAACGTGTAAGTTTTGGTAAATACACGCCTGTAGCCGTCAGCCCAGTCAAGATAAAGAACCTCTCCATCCCCCAGACCTTTCCTTGTCTCGGGAGCTGGGTTTTGGCTGTAATCAAGAGGAAGTCCTCTAGGCCAGAGAGTGCTTTCTGTGATTCTGTGCCGACAGCTGCCTTAGTGATGATGTTACTTTTATCAGAAGGCTCAAAGCAATGGACCTGAAAAGCAGGAGAAAGAAGGTGTTATCCAGAACTTCAAGAGAACTCTCTCCAAGAAAGAGAAGAAGGAGAAAAAGAAGAGAGAGAAAGAGGCAGTGAGGCAGGCATCTGAGAAAGATGATCGGCCTTTCCAAGGGGATGACCTGTAAGTAATTCTGGAAACATCTCTGTCCTATTTATGAAGCAGACCTTGTTAAATTACCAGATAAACTGTGAGAAGGACAAGCGTCAGTTAAGAAATGAGCTTGGGTGCTTGGCTCTTCTGTGCTGAGGGGAGCTGAGGGGTCTCCCCTAACCAGGTTCCTGGCTGGCAGGGGCAGACCCCTCTCCCCGGGTTTGCTAATTTCAGGTAATCAACCTGCTGAACAGTATTGTTCTTAGCATACTATTGTCAGTGTTTTCTTCATTTTGGGCCTTTCGTTTCTGGGTGTTTTTTTTTTTTTTTTTTTTTTTTTTTTA